CCTGTTGGCTCCATGGCTGAGCAGAGACTAGAACCCAAATTGCCTGAGCCCCAGACCCTCATTCTTAACCGCTACACCACACTGGCTGTCTTATTATATTGCAGTTTTTGCATCTAGGCTGAGAGATACACTGTGTAGGGAGGAAAAAAGACAGTGAAACAACTCATTATTTTCATAGCACCAACATGCATATCCAAAGAGCTGGACGCTGCCACCAGATATGCAAAAACCTAGCATGCAAATAATTTTATCTGCTCTCTGGGATTTCTACTGCATTATATTGATGGTTTTTCCCCTGTCCTTTCCTCTGTGAAGTCAACAGAAGCTTGTGAAGATAACTGATTAGAGAATAACGTGAAGGAAAGGCTTTTAACCACCCCCCTGCCATGCTAGCCAAATCCAATTCACACCTGTGTGATTGCTTAAGACCTAAACAAAATGAAACAAACAAAAAAATGGTCCCAATATCCCCGCTCAGGTGTTTTTTCTGTGCCCCTGCCTTTCATGCTTCCACACCATCCCTACAAGCAGAGGGAAATGGGCAGATAATCCAAGTGCAGCTCTCGCCGTGTGTCCCGCTGCTCCCGTGTCACAGGTCTCCCTGCTGTGCAGGTGTTCCCCCTAAGCCCCATCCCTGTCAGAATGCTTCCAGCTTGCCCTCTGCCAGTGGTCCAGCTCATACAGTGAAGAAACCACAAAGCAGGAAGCAGTCTCCATGATGCAGAAGAATGTGCACAGCACTTCTGTTTCACTCTGCCCTGCCCGATGAGTCAGAGATAGAAGGGGCGGGTCTGGGTGTGGAGCGGGGGTTGGGATGGATGTGTGCCTGCAAGCTTTTATCCTAGTGCTGTCTTCTAACCATGGCCATCAGACCTAACATTACACTTGAGACACTTTGAGAGATAGTTGCTTGCTTAAAGCGAAGCAGAATATGGAGGTAAACTCAGTTGCTGGCTTTCTGCTGGAGGAAATATATGAACTGTTTGAACACAGAGAAATTAGCATATTTGCATGTTATGTGCATGATAATAGATCTCCAAATAGGTACATTATTTCAGAGATAGGCAACTATGTGCCCTTCAGGTGTTTTGGACTACAACTTCCAATATGACCAATGGTTAGAAAATATGGGAGCTGTAGTTAAGATCATTTGGAGGGCACCAGGTTACATGCCCCATTGTTTCTTGCCTGTGCATGACATCTGTGTAGAATATTCATGAATTGTGAAAATAAGTAGATATAGTATGGGACACAGGAGATAATCCATCCCTAGAAAGACGAGAGCAGAGTTTGTAGGTCATTCTACCATTGCATTAAAAATTTCCAAGAACTGATTTCCTTTCCAAGCACAGGTTTTTAGCTGCCGTTTCATAAGTTCATTAGTAGCAATGAATGGATGCCAATTGCAAATACAGTATTAGGTAGACTTGACAGTTTCAAAGTTCTAATTAATGTTTTTTCTGTAATGATTCCTGGTAAATATTTAAGAGAGTACCTATACATCATTTATACTTTGTTGGTGAAGAGAGGGAATGAAAACAGCAAACAATTTCACCAGAAATGATGGCAGCATTGTGTGGGTTTTTAATTGTTGTATACCTTTTAAAAATTAAAATGAATGAGTCATTATTTGTTAGCATATCACAGATGTTTGGGATCCTTAAATGAATGAGTGTATCAACAGCTTTCAATACCATCCCCTCCTCCTAAATTTAACCCAAGGAAGTATGGGGTATTTGTTTTTAATGTTTACAACTATTACAATGCAGTTGCTCCGTAATATAATATTTAAATCACATTAAATGTAGTTTAACATTTTCCCTCAAGAATTTTGAATCAAATATGTGTGTATTCAGACCAAAAAAACTAAGATCAGATGGTTTGAGGTTTTTGTGTGTTTTTTAGCTTTGTTGTTTGCAAAATACCAGTAAAATAAGTATGCTAAATTTGATCAACATCTAGGATGTGAAAACATTTTCCATTGCAAATTTGCAGTGCAAACTGTTCATTGCAAATTACTTGATTTGCTTTAAAAAAAAAAAACTATGTTCTGTTCAAAATTTTCAGAAAAAACATAGCCAGAACAAATTTCTACTTAAAGGTTCAGTTAGCTGGAGTCCTAGTTCTGTCTTTAAGATATCAGAGCATGTCAAAAAGTCTTTCTATCCTATTTTTCCTTCAGTGGTATCATCCATGCAAGGTATGCCCAAAAAAAGAAATATAGCCTATCATATTTGGAAGTCAAGATAAAATAAATGTGTGCAAGTATATACAACTCATGCATTTTGCATAATATTTCACAAGAGTTGGGATATCTGGTTAAACAGTGTTTCCTTTTCTCAGAAACAGGTACATTTGTCAGAGGGTGGTGTAGTGCTGGCACTTTCCCAAAAGTTTTCATCATGTCAGCTGAATTATGCTTGATTCATTCAATGTGCCACTGGAGGTAGAGCTTTTCAGACTTCCCTTTGCGGGGCCTGCAGGCATTGCAGCTGTTATGAGTTGGAAGCCATTTTCATTGTGACTAGTATTCATTGCTGGCCCTTTCCTCCATGGCTAAGCACACATGATTAACACTCTGTGAAGCTGCTTAGCTCTGCGAAACAAGGATTCCTTTCTGCAAACTTTCAGCAGCTGCCTGGGCTGCCCATCCCTCTTCCCCTCTCCCACAATCCACTCCTTGCTCCAGAGGCAGCTCCCATTCATTTGGCTTGGCCCTATTGTGAGAAGCAGCAGGTTTTGTTGGGTAGTCTGCCAGCCCTTAGTAGAAGCATGTGGCTTGTTCTGCAAAGCCTGGTGCAAGAATAGTCAAACCCACAAGCTGGATGCTCCATGCAATCTGATCCCCTCGAAATAGGGAGTCCGCCTTCCTAGTTTCAGGCTTTTGTGTCTTTATTGTGTATAGAAATTCAGAATGTACTGCTTGGGAGGAAAAGATTTTCCTATCGAATGTCTCCCTCACCCGCAAAGGTTTGGCCATGGGAACCCTGCTTAAAAAAAAAAAAAAAATAGAGTCAACCCAAAGTGAAACGAAGATGGCTAATTATTGGAAGGTACTTTCTATCAAAATACGATTGAAATATTAGCTGAAATTTTAATAATGGAGTTAGATGCTTTGCAACCTGTTCATCCATTGCCATTCACATCTTGATAAATATCTACTACTCCTTGTTTTTGCCTCTGCCACTCTTGTAAAATCTTGCTTCCATATGAAAATAACTTTCTCTAAATCCCTCTGTGTAACAACTTCATTTGAGTTTATTTTGCAGCATCTGGATTTAGAGATAGAAGATCATACGTTAATCCCCTCCAGTCTGGTGCCCTTTAGAGGAAGTAGATTTCTGCCCCTACCAGTCCTTAGACAGCATGGCCATGATCCTGCAGGCTGGGGTTGATAACCTTGAGTGCCATTTTCTTGGTAATAAGTCAAAGTACCTATCAAAAGAATGAATCAATTGGCAGGCAGTCGGTTGGAAAAGGCTAACATAGATGTTTTGGCAAGTGCTTTATGACAGAAGCGACTGAAGTGGAAATGAAAATTCTGTGTAAGCTAGAAACTGTGTTTATATTATGGTTTGCTGTGCAATATAATTTTTTTTTGCGTAAGCCTTTAAAATCTTCTTCCGCTGTCTTCCATAGCTATCACAGAGTTTTGTACAGTGGTGGGCTTGCTTTTTATGAGTTTTTAAAGTATTTTGTTTTCTATTTGTTGCCTATTTGTATAGTTTTTATTCTGCATGTAGCCTTAAGAGCATTTTACCCTTAAACTTGCCCCCTAAATAATAATAAATAAGTAGATTATTCTGCATTCTTTCAGAGTTCTCTCTCTATATATAATGGTCTAGGATGTTGAACATTTTTCAGTCCAGGGGCCAACTTCTGTTTCAAAGAAGCCCTGGGGCCGCATTCTAGTGGTAGGCCGGACTAAATGCGAAACAGGCAGGGACAAAATGCAAAAAAAAAATACTAGCATTTAACACAAGAAAAAGCTCTTACTGACCGTAACTCCACTTGAGGAGCAAGTGGGAGGGAAGTTAGAAAAGCCAGAAATGCACCAGCATGGCATTCTGAGGAACCTTGCAGGATCTCCAGTCAGCTGAAGCTGTCCTGCAGGCTGGAGGTTCAGCACCGCTCATCTGTGGACTGAATCTCCACAAGTAGTCACAAAGCTGAAAGCAGTGAGTACCAGCTTGACTGACAAACGTTTTTACCCCTTTTGTAAAATGTCCTTGCAAAGCACAGGGACACAGACTCATGAATGCATGAAGATTACCTAATATACACACCTGTTTTTGCTCCTGAATTAAAAGTTGGCCATAATGGGATGTGTCCTGGGCCGGTAGCTCTAGCTTCCTCTGCCGATTCTTCAGACACAGGCTTTGAGCTCTGGGCAGATGCTGCTGGGCTTGACTAGGAAAGAGGCAAGACTGGGAGGAGTCGTCTTGATGTGCATCTCGTCTCTTGGAGTGAGAAAGCGGATGTCTAGGTAGCCATGTGCTCATGTTGGGGGATAGCAGAGCCAGGTAGAACCTCATGTACAAGAGAGATGTGCTCCTGAATATCTCCAATTAATCAAATGGGACAATCCCAAGGTAATCATCCTGTTGGTCTTTATGTGATCACTCATCTTAGGACAGTTGATGGCCATAGTGGCTAGGAATGATGGGAGTTGCAGCCTGGCACATCCAGAAGGTACCTGTTTGAGGAAAGCTGTCCTAGGATGAAAAAGAGGTGAGAGCCCCAGGTGGTGCCAGGTTGAAGATTAAAAATTAGTATGAATTTAGAGGTTCTTTTCTAGGACAACCAGGTCCTTAGTCTAACCATCTCAGTGTCTTCTGGTTTCTTCCTCAATGCTCATCAGCTCTGCTCTTCTGTCAGCCAGATACCTTCAGCAAAAGCACTTCAGGCGTTTCACCATTCCCATCCCTTGCCTCAACCGAATGTATAACCTTTACTTCAATCTGCAGCCCATCTCACAATACTCTTCTTTTGGATTCTAGGAGAGCTGCTGAGGCATCCCTTGCCAGTACCCAGCTGGTCATAGCATGATGCCTTTTGGGGGGATCGCTGCCAAGCTGGAAAGGGACCGCCTGCGGGCGGAAGGTGTGGGGGATTTCCACAGTGCTGTGAAGTACCTCGGTCAAGATTATGAGACCCTCAAGCAGGAATGTTTGGAGAGTGGCAGACTGTTCGAGGACCCCCATTTTCCTGCTGTCTCATCAGTCCTAGGCTTCAAGGAATTGGGGCCTGGTTCTAGCAAGACCCGTGGAGTGAACTGGAAGCGTCCATCGGTGAGTACTTGAAGGGACCCACAGAGAACAATTCTTCCACTTAGTAATAAGTCACATTATCAGCTTTCATTAAAAGCCTCTTCACTCATTGATCCAACACTTGCTTCTTTTTCCTAATGTTCCAGGATTATATCAATTATTCCGATGGCCATTTTCCATCTTTTAATTAGTCCCTCTTTCCTCTTTGAATGTCTTGTTCTACACTTCACTATAATTTAGCTGACTATGGCATCTAGCCAGATTTCAAGTGCAGCTATGCTTTCAGAAGACTGACTTGCCCACAAAATGGGCAAGGTAGCTTCTGTCTTTGAATAGCCATTAGAATAGTGTCCAGCACCTTCTGCATGGCAGCAGCAGAAGCCCAAATCTTGGAACTGTTAATGAAGTCCTGTTAAACATTTACTTTGAAGGTTTGGAGTGTGAAGCAGCATCTGTTTGCACGATTGCTCCTTAAGTTTCGGTAAGGCTTAATAATTGACGGGAGAGAATGAGCAATTGGAAATAGTAAGCATGCAGCATCTGCAGGTGGCATGAACTGAAAAGTCCCTGTTTCTAGTCTCAGTTCTGCTATGAACTCACCACGTAGTCTTCTCTTTCTCTCTCATCCTTGATCTGTAGAATAGAAATTAAAGAATGACCCACAGATCATTGTAAGCATTACAGAATCTGAGGCACTCCAAGCATCTGGAAAAAAGTGATACATGCATGTGCAATAAATATTGTTTATTGTTGGTATTTGTTTACTTCATTCTGTCAGAGTGGGAGATAAACCTAGTTTGGCATCATTCTGGCAGAGTAGTGGATTCCTGGGAGATGGTCACTTAGGAACTACCATGGCGTGCCTGTAGGCTTGTTTTTATATTCCCATGGTGTCTGTAAACATTTATAAACTAATGGTTATGGAACTGTACCATAGTTGAGTAGACTAGGAATGAGTCTGTAAAGTCTGGTGTCTTACTTTGTACCCCCTCTTTTTCTCTGGTGCATGGCTGGAGTAAGACCTCAGACATATAACTCCAGTTCACAAGTAATTTGCCATGTGGAAGCAAGTGCACAGCTTGCTTCTAGACTCCTCCTTACTTCCAGTTTCTGTAAACAGCCTTTGATCCACTTTTGTAGGTTGTAAGCATGATTTGTGAACTCAGCACTAGGTTATTTAGGGGCTTGACAGCTGAGCAATTAACCCACAGTTTGTTATATAGATAATAGTTTATTTAACCCACAACTTGCTGTTCTGTGTGAACTGGAACATTCATTCTTAAGCTGCAATTTCCCTTTACATCCATTCCCTATTAATCACTGGGAAGCTTAAATAAACCAAGTTTGATTCCTAGCTTGTTCAAATTACCCATACTTTAATTCCCTGAATTCAGACATAAGAAGGGAACTCTGTTTAGTTTAACAACGGAAATAGATTCCTCTGAATATCTGAGAAGGAACCAACTGCCTGTTGGTGGAACAAGGTGATGTCAAACACAAGCTACCCATATACAGAATGCCATCTTGGCTGAGCTTCTATGATATTGTGAGTTTCTAGTGTTTGCTTTCCTTACAGGGCTGCCCTGAACACACTGCCCCTGAGAAAACAGAGAATGTGGTGTAGCAAATCAGGCAAATATTCCAAATTTGCACATGATACCCTTACTATAAAACCAGGAAATTCAGTATGTAGATGCCTCAAAAAATTATTGAATTCTGGATTACAACATAGAAAGGAATTTCAGATGCTAATGCAGCACAACTTGATCTCCTGAGTACTCCTACTTGTACTCCTGCAAGAGTAATTAAACTTATTTTTTAGGCTTCCTAGATGGGAGACAGACATCATTTAGGAATTGATTATTAGATTATTGGTACTCCTTACTGTTAACTAAGAAATCCAGGTGATGAGTGCCAGGCTATGCAGTTGGGACACCATGGGGTGAGTAGTGAATATAGGCACTGAAAAAATGCTTATTGTAATTATAGTGCATATATTAGATTTATATATTGTAACATGAACCAGGTAATAGCTCTAAGGCAGGAATAGGTTAACCAACACTAAGGGTAAAATGCCAAAAAATCCAGTGCCCAGCCTGGTGGGAAGCTAGTGTCCAAGGTTGTGGGAGGCTCAGCTTGCATGTATGGATTCACAAAATCTTACATAAGACAGTGAAAGCCATTAAATGAACTGTAAAAACAGGAATATGATCAGATGAGTTAACAGGAGGGAAATTCTTGGATAGTAAATATAACAGATGCATTTTGAGAACACACTCATGAGACAGGATGGAGTAAAATGTATAATTCTTATCACACACATATCTGTAATATGCACTGGATTCTGCAATGTTTTTATATGTATATTATTATAAGCATCTATCCTCTTAGATTTAAATGTCAGCAATACTGTTTAGACAAAGTTGATTTAAAAGTGACCTTGAAAATGTATTGTAACAAAGTGTAAATACATAAAATAAAAATAAGTTAGATGTGTTAAAAACCAGGCAAAGAGTATATAAAGAATTATTTGAACATGCAACCCTGACAGCTAATCTTCTGGATCACCCATGCCCAGTGTGTCGTCCCGGTAATCCTAATGCTGTGGTTTTTTGCTCAGTTAAAAGCTTTGACTTAAGATGATGGTGGCAATGTTGTGCTTTTGCATCTATGCAGGCATAGCCTTTGCATGCTATTTTCTAGCGAAGAAACAAAACAAAGCCCTTGTTTCAGAGAGTTATTACAGAAAATAGAAAAAATAACTCTGCATGTTCTGTATCTAGAGTGAAAATTTACTCTTACTATCAGATGGCATTTTGTTGTCTGAGGGATCTGAATATGCTAAGTTAAATGGGAAGGCCACATACAGATCACATGTTTTGAGAGGACCTCTGAACATGCACATATGCCACAGAGAAACAACACTGCACGACTGTTGGAATCATTATGACTCCCTAAATATTTATTTATAGTTATAGTTACATAATGAACTGAATGATCATCTTTCTAATATTTTAACAGTATAATGTCTTGCACTGCTGCTTGTTCTGCCCTGGCTACATCTATACCCAGTCTTGCTACAAACACCTATTTATTTATAAATATTTAAAATAATTTTAGGGTGCCCATTGAAAAAAGTTGTCTGCGTATAATGCAAACAAAACAGTAAGGACATCAATATAAAATCACAATTAAATTGAGCATGATGCAGAATGATAGTAAAAAGTCGGCAAAGCCACTGTTCAGTCAGCTTTCATTCCCCGCTGGAAAGCCTTGGCAAAGCCCATCTTCTCACAAAAGTCCAGGCCTCAGCACCCTGGCACCGAAACCACGGTGCAGTTGGCACCTGGAAAGCCTTTCTGGGGACGGTGCTCAGTAAATGAGGCACTGCAGCTGAACAGGCCCTTGTTTGTTTTCAACTTTTTCTGCTAAGCATCTTCCATCGGTCTCCCATTGTAGTAAAGCCTCCAAAAATAAATTGTATCCGTCCTTTGTCCCGGTGGCTTCAGCCTTTGTGTATGCGCTCTTTTCCCACAGAAGCAGATTCATTATGCTAGAATTTACAGACATGGTTCAGTAGATTACTCTATAGAGTCTGTCTCCAATGGACTTTTCAGTGATACAAGGACCAGTCAGTAGTAAGAAGACCAAAAAGTGTGTTGTGGCTTTATAGAAACTTAAGGGTTGCTCTGCACATCATGAGTTTCCACAATTTTTTCTTGTGGAAAAACTGTGCTTTCTGAAGTCATCCTAAGGCTGCAGTCACAGTATTTTTTTCAGGAAATCAGTGAGTAGCTAACGTTCCTCTCCCACATGCAAGTGTGGCCTAAGGAGGCCCAACCAGATTCCTGCTGCACTTGTACAACCCCTGACTGACAATAGGGGATTGTGGCTTGGGGCTGCTTCATGGCAAAACGGGGTTCAGAAACCCCCTCACATCAGAAGGATATAGAGTTCTGTGGGGCAGCCATGTGTGGCCCTACACATAATAGCAACATGTGTGAGTGGAGCTGCTGTACTTGTGGAAGACTTCAGCCATGCAGAATCACCTTCCCAGGGGCTTTTGTACATGAGGCTTTTAATCTGCCATTTTATCGAGGCTTCTGCTTCCAGCTGTGGGCTTAAGAGCAGCTGCTTTACACAATTTTTATACCCCCCCACCCCCCCCACACACACTTTCCCAGCCTTTCTCTTTGTTCCAGTAAAGTTTCATGACACCAGTCAGTGCACTGCCAGACTTTCCTCATTGGGGTGGGGGGAACCCACATGCCAGTCACAAAGGTTGCAAAGCACAGGCAAGGCCCAGAAAGAAGCTGTTGTGAGTGAGGAATCACAATAATATCTCATTCCAAAAGACTCCTTGTGTGGTGGAACCCTGTGCTGTTCAGATGGGGAGCAGGTGTAGTCTTGATGGGCCCTCAGCTCCTTTACATGTTTTCGACTATGTGAGGGGAGCATCCAAAGCCCCCAACCCCAAGGTATGTGTTTCTAGCAGTGAGCTGTTCCCAGATGTCCTGGTCTGCAGTCCAGGCTTAGCACCCTGGAGCCCTGACTGTTAAAGTGGCTGGCAGATGGAGGCATGGCTTATGTGGAGGCAGACTAAGGGTATGTCCTCCATTGTGTCCCAGAGCCAGCTGTGCCTTTTACAAGGAATTCTGGAGTAAACTTTTATTGTCAGACAGCTCAGGAGGTAGTCAGCAGATGGGTCTTTCAAAGGACCTGGACCACGGCCACTGCCAAACTTGTGAGCTTTGCTGCCGGTCGTTCATTCATGGTTGCGCTTCAGTAACAAGCTGAACGCAGGAGCTGTGGCAAAGTGCGCTCTCCCTGTGATGCTGTGAGCTTTCATTGGTAGTCTCCCACATCAGCTTTGTCTAGCCTGGTCTTCTATACAAGTATTCGAGTTGGACTGCAAGTCTCCTAAAGCCCTAGCCAGCATTGCTGTCTGGAGGGCTATATCCCCACACATTTAATGGACCCAAATTGGAGGAAAGCTGTGCTGCATCTTTGAGGGAGTAAACTTGTGCATAATCAGACAGAAAAAAGGCCCAAATGTGGTTAGTCTTAATTGTTTTTAACAAAACAGAATTCAGCATCATATACCCTGGTCTGAGGTTGGTTGAGGTGAGTCCTGAAGCAGGGATGTATGAGCCTCACTCTTGTCTATTACTGTAGTGCAAATGATACATAGAGATTCAATTCATTGGCATGCTTGCACACTCTTTGTCTCACACAACACGCACACCCCTTTCTGTGAAGGGGATGTGAACCCCATCTTGCATTTTCATGAGTTCAGATCACATGTACCTTTGGTTTGGCTTGGCAAATGACCTTTGGAAAGCAGTCAAACCAAATCAAAGGTGGGAAGGAAGGCAATTTGGAGCTTCTCTTGATCAATGCCCAGAGTTGACACCTGCTGCAGTTTGCCAGCTGATCTCTCCCTGGATATTTCCCAGGCAAGACAATCCATTTTTGGAGCTCCATAAGTGCTCAAGTGTGCATGCAGAAAAGACTGATAAATACAAAAATATTTCTGTTTGTTAGATGATCCAGATTTTTAAAAACATGACTTGCAGTCCCTCCAGGGTGCCAGTTGTGCAGTATGAAAGGTGAGTCAAAGTGGAGATTCTGAAAGAGAGAAAGGAAGTAGAAAGTACAGAAGGCAAGAACTGGGGGATACCACATCACTTTGAGCAATCACAGTCATTATTGTCCTTAACTTAATTACAATATTCTTCATGCCATCCTGAGACCCTTGGTATTGGACAAGATATGAATATTTTAAATGAATAATAATAAATGAATGTCACATTCAGCAGTCAAGATTTTCCATTATGATCGTATGAGAATGCCAAGACTCCCACCAATATCTTCTTTCATTTTTTTTCCTTCTTCACAGGAAATTGTGGATGACCCTCAGTTTATTGTTGGTGGTGCTACAAGGACAGATATCTGCCAAGGCGCTCTAGGTGAGTAATATGGGTTTATGCTTTGGATTGGAGGAAGGAGCAGAGAGGTGAGAATGCAGGTAAAAACATACTTGTATCAGGAAAGGGGTGCTTAACAGTTCTGCAAATTATCCTGTAGTAAGTCTTCAGTAGTCAGAGAAGGAAGCCATAAAGTGAGAGCCAGTGGCTAAGAGCATAGAAGTGGGACTTAGGCAATCTGAGTTCTAGTCCCCACTCAGCCATGGAGCCAACTGGGTGACTTGGGGCCCCTCCCAGACTCTTAGCCCAACCTACCTCACAGGGTTGTTGTTGTGGGGATAAGATTGAGAGCAGGAGGAGGAGAATGATATAAGCCATTCTGAGTTCAGTGTATGGAAAAATTGATAAAATAAATAAACAAGGTTATTGATCACCTTGTAGTGAGTAAATACAAACATTGCTACTTCAATTGCTGATGAACACTTCATGCTTTTAGGGCTGCCCCAACCCATTAGCCACTGCATGTGGCTGCATAAGGCAGAAAAGTCTTAAGTCCACTCAGGAAAATTCCTAAGAGAGAATGTAGTTGTCTGCTGTCTCCTGAAGGATTCTGACATTTGTGTCTGTCCTTCCCGCCACCTCTACTTCCTGGTTGCCCTCCTTTTTCCTAGCTCCATAAGTGAATGTAGAGCATTTACATTGTATGGAGCAGAAAGGGGGCAACAAATTAAAAAGTCTTTGAGAAGGAAATGCAGTTCTCTCCTGCGCCTTAACTAGGGCAGGCCACAAAACTATTGTGTCCCCAGGGGAACAACAAAGCATGAGCTCTGCTAGCATTTTCAGGTGGATCTTGTGGACTTTCACCCTCAAGAAAAATGGCAGCCTTGTCTGGTTAGAGATATTGGATGAATAGGGGGACCACAAGGAACTCGGAAAGTTCCCACTGTCAGGGGTGCTGTGAATAGAAGGTTCTTCTCACCCTATACTCATACAGCTGTGTGAATGTGTATTCTGTGCCATAATAACACAATTCCAATTGTGCCATTCTGGTAGCACAAAAAATGTTGTGCTAACAGAAGATACATTCCAAATTGTCTGTCTGTCTGTTTGTCCGTCCATCCATCCATCAAAAGCTTTTCTACTCTGTCCACCATTAGTGTCTTACAATAGAAACGAGTAGAATAAAACGAAACACAAAATTGTGTCAGAGAAGACTCCAGCTAAAGTTACAGTTGTGTGAACAGCTGTTGCACATTATGCTTGTCCAACCAGTTGCACAAGAATAATGCACAAACATTTGCTCAGTGGAAAGATTCATTGGAACTCTGTTGGTGCTACTTGAGCTTGCAAAATGACACCACTGGATACTGCTCTTACAAATTTAAAATTGACATGCTAATTGTACTCCTGTAATTACTGTTGTGTTTATCTTATCTTGTATCTTAGCCGTGTTCTTTTCTATGATCTTCTCCCCTTTCTGCAGGCTTTACCTTCCTGGCATCCATACTTTTGACTTACAGTTAGACCTGTTGTTGAACGGCTCTTTCTGCCTTCTTTTTCTGATCCTTCCTCAGGGCTGCCAGTATGGACAGGGCTTCTGAGCTGTTGATCACTGTTTAGCATGGAGAAGCTCAATAGCTAAGGACTTCTCCATCACTACAGCACGGTGAAAGCTCTTTATGGAACCTGTGCAGCTCTTGATGGAATCAGAGTTCCTAACTCTCACCTTATCCAAGAGGGAAAGTGACAACCCCATACCTGTTCATATTTCCATTCTTCTGTTGGCAGGTGCATGTTTTCCTCTCCACACTTGCCTAGTGCCCATTATGGAAGGAGGAAGGAAAGAAGCACATTTTTCTGATTGACAGGAGTTTCTGGGGCTTCGCTGGCTGGAATTCTTCCTTCGTTTGTTGGGTCTCATTTGTTGGGTAGCCTATGAAAGGCCTTCAGTGTTGATGGCAAGACAATAGACCTCTCTTGGCCTCAGTTTATTGTGATCTCAAATTTTATATGCAGTCACTTCTCTAGACTATAGAGACACGTCATTAGAATTCTGGCTGAGCAAGCATTGATTTCCAAGGCAGAATGGAGATTAATTGGATGAAGACAGAATTTTTAAAATGTTCTTGGCTTGCCTTCTACAAGAGAAACACTTTAAAACAGACCAAATTTTTGGCAGCCGGGTATTCAGTGAAATCGAAAATTGGCTGAATTCCATATATTAGATGATCTTGAAAAGGAAATGGTTTTGCAATGCTTTCAAAAACATTTTTGTTTGTATGGAACAGTAAAATCATTTTACTTTCATCTTGCAGATACATAGTAGACAGATTCTGATTAAGGGAGTCGATCTACTGATTTTGGCAATCACAATGGGATTGTAGAGGAGGAGATTATATTTCTTTGCTATAGGTTATGTAGGTCACTGGATGCAAAGTCCAGAAAGTAATCTGCTTCACTGTTGGTGAGCTATAGACATCATTCATACATTTCATAACAAGAGAAGATAGTCTAAAAGGGCTGATCATCAGGAGTAGGTACCTTTGAGCACTCCAGATTTATTGGACTCCAACTTCCATAAACCCAAGCCAGTATGGCCAGTGATCAGGGATTATGGGGGTATAGTCCAAAACACCTGAAGGTCAGAAGGTTGCCTCCTCTTGAACAGAACCAGTAATGTACTGATAGTGAAAAGCTGGAGAAGAAAGAAGGATATTAGAACCAGATCTTCTGGGGAATAGGGTGACTTCTGTTTCCCTGCTGTTCAGGTGACTGCTGGTTGTTGGCTGCCATTGCCTCCTTGACTCTGAATGAGGAACTTCTGCACCGGGTTGTGCCCCATGGACAGAGCTTTCAGGAAGACTATGCAGGCATCTTTCACTTCCAGGTAAGGCTGAGGAAAAGATGGCTTATTTTTCCGCACAGGAAGTGCTTTATACCAAGCCCTTTTTCACAGGTGGGTGGAGCACTGAATTGTGGTAATGTAAAATCACCAACAAAGGAAACTTGGTAGAGATGGGTTATTGCCCAGGGGATTATCCTATTCAGTCCTAGTATTTGCCTTACCTTCTCCCCTATCCAATTAGAAAGGCATGGCCAGACCTCATGATCCTTGTGTTTTTTATCCCCCAGATCTGGCAGTTTGGTGAATGGGTGGATGTGGTGGTAGATGATCGGCTACCAACCAAGGATGGAGAGCTGGTGTTTGTGCACTCGGCTGAGTGTCAAGAGTTCTGGAGTGCTCTGCTGGAAAAGGCCTATGCCAAGTGAGTGCTACCTCAGTTCAGGTTATGCAGAGTGCTAAAGAGCAGATGGGGCCTTACCTGTACAACGGTGGTGTTGGACATCAGGCCTGTAGACCGAATCCAACCTTCTGGAGTTTCCCAGTTAGCCATTCCTCTCTCAGCCACTGATGGTTGTATGAGTTCCTGGCTTTGGCATGGGTTCTTTCCCCCATTCTAAAGTTTGAAATGCCTCTCCTACAGTGTTGTTGCTTCCAGTGAGAGGTTTAAACTAAAATATGTTGTAAAATATGCTTTTGCTTGTCCCTGTTGGTTTTTGCTCCACCCACCACCGGAACATAGCCCCGGAGCTTCTCCAAAATGGACCTCAGACCTTGGGCTGAAAGAGGTTCCACACCCCTGTCTTACTTTCTCCATCAAACCCTGTTCTGGCCTTGCAACCCTTCATTAACTTTCCAGTCCCACTGCCACAGTTGGGTCTTCTGTGGGTCAGCAGGTGCAGTTCAAGGCTATCCACTAACCCCCCTCCCCGAATTCTGTCTGGCATACAGGCTGAACAGCTCCTATGAGGCTCTGTCAGGGGGCAGCACCACGGAGGGCTTTGAGGACTTCACAGGTGGCGTGTCGGAAATGTACGATCTCAGGAAGCCCCCTCGCGACCTGCCGAGGATCATTTGCAAAGCTCTGGAGCGAGGCTCCCTCCTTGGCTGCTCCATTGATGTAAGGCACAGAGGAGTTTGCAGAACATTTGGAGATCTGTAATCTGCTGAGAAATGGATTGCTTCTGTCCCTGAACTTGATATTTGGAGATTTGTCAAGAGACCACATGTAAACAAAACAGAAATTCAGTTGATGCGCATTGGTCAGGGCCGAACATCAGAATGAGTCCAAGTGTATACTCAAAGCAGAGGGTGGGTGGGGTAGACTGGTAGGCCACAGGTCCTTTGCCCATGTTAGGCTGAAATGAGAGACTTTGGGCTGATGCCCCCTTGTGGTTGGAAAGTATACTGGAGGCAAATGCAGTTCAAGTATTTATTCTGCTGTTTTATTTTGGTAGTTTCTTAAAGTAAGAAAATAATGTTACCCTTAAATATGAAAAAGGGAAGAAGGTGTGCATCTTTGTCATGTGCAATAGAGTGCTGCCATTTTCAGATCCAAGCTTGAGTAATCATGTTCTAGAATGTTTACTAAACACACAGCTTAGCAATTCTCCAATTTCATTGTTTATACATTACAAAGTCCTCTTCCATTTCTTGCTTCAACTAACATGTATATGTTTGTAGAATATGAGTATGGGAAAGCATTATTAGGGATCACATATAGATACATGCCAGGTAAAGTAAGAAATGCAATGGCTTCAAGTTGTAAGGGAGGAATGCCCCAAATTCAAGCATCCCTTTATCGCTTTAGCTTTCCTATGCCCTAGTTTTTCTGCACACCTGCTCACATGCTGTTCACACTGTGAACTTGTTTTATTTGTGAGTTGAAATATATGTTCTTGTTGCTTTTTTGCTCCACTTCATTGTGAAGGAAGGCAGTGGAGAGTAGGCCAGGTAATCAAATGAGAGCCCCATCCTAAATATCCTGTGTACTGAAGGGCCAGAGTTTGCTTTTGAATTGCCAGTGTGTTTAGTTTGCACAGTTTGCATATTCTAAGTATAACAAATATTAGCTTCTGTGAATAGCTTGAACTTAATCCATAGATAACTGCAGAATGGACTTATTTTATAGAATGTTGCCTTCAGTTATGAAAAATTAGTCTTCCCTCTGTAGAGATTAAAATGAAAAGAGAAATGGTGTAATGTGTTATTAACATTACCCATGACATTCATCCAAAGCTCTGCCAGGTTTCCAAATAGCAGCTATCCAGGAGTGAAAGACTATACCCAACACAGAGGAACTGCTGCAGTCTTACTCCTGATTTAAAGGCAGAACCTGAGGAGAGAAAGCATCTCTCTTGATGCTAATGCCATGGTACTCACAACCTTTGTCTCTTTCTGAAAGGAGCTGTGGTCCTTGAGAGTGTTCGCATCCTCCTCAGCCCTCTGAAAAGCTGTTTCAGTCAAGCAACTCCAATGCAATAATAAGACCAAGGGGTGATCTGCTCCTAGTTTATTATGTTTAGCAGTCATTTTGTGTTGTTTTGCTTTTGTGTCAAAAAGCACGCAACAGGCAGCCTAACTATGGGACCCTGACTAATGTTAAGCCTGCTGACCAGTGCCACATCTCCTTTCTCCTCAGATCACAAGTGCATTTGACATGGAAGCGATTACCTTCAAGAAACTAGTGAAAGGTCATGCCTATTCTGTCACAGGATTAAAGAATGTGAGTTCCTCATGGGGCTGTGGAGGCCAGTTCAGGGGTTTAGCCATGTGTGCAGATGGGCTGATGTCTTGACTCTTGACAGGTGGACTATCGTGGCCAGCAGGTGCCCCTCATTCGCATAAGGAATCCCTGGGGTCAGGTGGAGTGGACTGGAGCCTGGAGTGATAGGTGGGTTTGATGTGGTATTGCAGCAGCATCAATGATGACATCTGAGAAGGGTCCCCACTAATTTGGACCCTAGGGGGCATTCACAAATGCAGGCTTATTGCTGGATGACCTATGGATTGGGTGGGGGTGGGCATGTACAGATGAGCCATTGCAATTTCCATATTACTTCAGACAATGTTTTTTGATGGCATTTGTTCACACCTGTGGCTATGAGCCATTGAGCAATTGGCAGTCAAGTATGGAACCTTATACTGACTCAGTGGTCCATCTAATTTAGCATCGTCCACTGTACCTGACAGTCTTTCAGAAGAGTATTTCCTTGTCCTACCTGGGAATTCAAACCTGGGACTGTTTTGCATGCAGAACATGTGCTCTTTCAGTCTGGCATGGCTCATCAAGCCAGGCTCTTCCTGCTCCTTAGAGGTGACAGTCCTGGATAAAATTGTAAGGAGCACTGGGGGGAAGCACAGGATAACTTCCTTTCTGCTGCCATCTTAGCTCTTCTGAGTGGAACGAAGTGGATCCTGATCAGAGGGACGAACTGCAATTGAAAATGGAAGATGGTGAATTCTGGTAAGTTGCAAAACAACTCACGGTATCATCCATTCTCAGTGAGTGTTGCATGCAGTTTTACCTGTGCATGTGCCCCAGTGGCTCCTCACTCGGTGGAACGTAATCAGGCATTGTCAAATCTCTTAATATGTCTCCTTTTGTGTTCAAGAGTAACACTGGTAGGCATTTTCTTCTGTATTCAAGATTCAGAAAGCATTTGAGTTAGACAGATCACATCACGTCTGTTTCTGCTCTTGTCCTCACCCTGCCTTTTGTCCCCGCAGGATGCCTTTTCGAGAATTTCTGCGTGAGTTTTCCAGACTGGAGATCTGCAACCTCACCCCAGATGCATTGACGAAGGATGAGTTAAGCAGGTGGCACACCACCCTGTTTGAGGGCAACTGGCGCCGAGGCAGTACAGCAGGGGGCTGCAGGAACCATCCAGGTAACGCCAGCTTTTTTATCTTTCCTCTGCTTGCTTCTCTCTTTCACTGTAAATGGAGGGGTGAACTCAAGCTCATAAGTCTGTCAAATGCAACAGCCGAAAAAACTGTGGAACATCTTGGAACATGCTGCCTCCTTGCTCCAACAAGCCCCAACAAAAGTAAACTTTTGTTGTGCAATTTATCCATAGCCTGGTGTGGCTTCTTTCTGACTGCACCGGTGGTTGTGGAAAACCAAGCTCCCACTTGTTTTTGATGACGCAATAATGGGATGTGGCGTTTGGGAATAACACTACAATAATCTTTATTGTGTATAACTAAAGGTTATATAAAACAGAACAAGAATCTATAAAATAGAATTGTACCTAGCCAATATATGATGATTTAGTAGTGAAAAACAATATCATTAAATAGCGTTTGGATAATATCATTAAGTAGTACTGACATAATCCATTCTCTCAGAGAGGGAAGGAAACTTATAATTTAAGGCCATTGGTGTTTCTGATAAAGCTGGGGCACATATTTTTTGTTGCCCTAGCAAATATGGCTTCTCTCTAAGTAATATATGGATTGTAATTCAGCCAGTAATTCCAGCACCAGATCATGCGGAATTGGCCAAATGTATTGCTGAATAAAGGACAGTAATTTTTCCCTTGGGTCCCAATTCAAGAAGCAGAGCAAAACATAATATTCCAGATTTTTGATCTCAGTCTTGCCAGAAATCCATTCCCTTTCTGGTACTGGGATGCCGAAATATCACTACAGTCTTCCTTCTGTTCTTGCAGCAACATTCTGGATCAATCCACAGTTCAAGATCAGGCTCTTCGAAGAAGATGACGACCCGGATGATAATGAGTTGGCATGTAGCTTCTTAGTGGCCTTAATGCAAAAGCACCGCCGAAAGGAGCGCCGGGTGGGAGGAGATATGCACACCATTGGCTTTGCCGTCTACGAGGTAACCCCACTTGGCCTCCTGGTATCCCCTCTGGTCAGCAGCAGAGCTTGGCCAGCACTAAATCTGATTCCCTTCCTGAACAGGGGTGGCCTAGCCGCTCTGTGTGGGGCTGCCCTCGTGCCTGGTTCAGAAGCTGTGCTTAGCACAGGATACAGTAGAGCGGTGTACTTATTATGGCTACATTAAAAGAACTCCCCTAACTGGCTGTTAGCTACTGAGCCATGTTCAGGGTCTTGTTGCTGCTGTTCAGCTTAGGATCAGAAATGCCTATCCAGCCATGTTCCCACATATTCAGCAGATTGACCCCTGAGATCTTCCAAGGAGGCCATGTTGCTTGTCCCACATCAAGCCAGCCTTCTTGGTAGTGGCACCCATCCTCTGGAATGCTCTCCCATGAGAGGTCTGAGAGAAGGCAACTCTCCAAGCTTTAAATGCCTCTTGAAGATGCACCTGTTTATCAAGGCTTTTCCCAACATGTAACTCCACTGCTCTATTTTACTGTTACTATGAAGTTTTTAATTTATAGTGGCTTTTATATTGTATTCTACATATTTTTTATGTACATCACTTAGAGAGCTCATGATAACAAATAGTAAACAAGTAGCTTAAGTAATGTTTTTCTCTCTCTCCATCTCTCTGCAGGTTCCTGAGGAGGTATGTACCAAGGCACAGAAAGCCATTATTGAATTGTGTGCAAGACGAGAACTCTCAGAGCAGGCAGAAATGGGCTGAGGCAGAGTCCCTTTGCCTAATTTTTGAAGAAAGATGCTGAAAATTATATAAATCCCAATAATGTGCAGCACCTTGTGTAAATAGCTCTTTGAGGCTGCAGAATTAGGCAAGATTAACCAGATAGGGATGATTAAAAAGATCAGAATTCTTTACCAGAGATGTCTTGTGTTCTGCATCCAGAAACAGTTAAGCAAAAAACTAAATATACAAAATAAGAAAATACTAATGTAATTGTATCCAAGGTTCAATCTGCAAATATTTCCCTTTTGTTAGAAGGCTCTCCTGCCGATGATTATCTCTTGTTCAAAGATGGTTTTTTCTGAGATTTACCTAACTTTTTAACCCTAGAGACCTGGTCTACCCAAGGTGCCTCACTTTATTAGATTGGAGGATACTTGGAAAGAAATAAAACCACCTGTATCAAAGATAATATACAGTTTATTGAATACTGTGCTGAAATAAGGATACAAAATATAATAAGGCAAAAGAAAATATATACTCCCCTTACTTGTGGCCATACTGGTTTCCTGAATAGGCCAAGAGACACTCCGTGGGTCTCCAAAGTTGCCCAGTATCAGTTCCTCCTCTCCAGCCAAGCATGAAAGACAACACCTCCTGTCATGGATTTTATGCAGTTCCTCTTTCCCACCGTTGCAGAGTCTGTCAGTATCCGCAAGCTCCCACCCACCCTTTCTTGGGAGTGAAGGTGCTTCATTAATGCTTTGTTCTTGTGGCAGAGGCATGATATACCTAGTGACTGGGAAGGCAGCTCTCAGTTACCTTCACAAGATGAAGCTTGTAGGACCTTGACATGGCTTGCAAAAAACTGTTCTGGCTTCTGGCCACTGAGAAAGATCAATATACCGACCCACTGAACTATGACAACTTCCTTGTCATTCTTCTAGTAGCACCCATACGATACACCCATCTCCTTTGTGCATTTACCTCTGTAGTGTTTGTGCATACATATCTCTTGCATAACTCCTTATCCCAGTGGGGATGGGCCTGCCCCTTTGCATGACTGTGTAGTACTCTTTTGCTGTATCTCTCCCAGAACCAAGGCTGCCAAAGTGTTCACTTGAAGAAGGATTTCTTTCTGAGGAACCAGTCCCGGGCACGCTCCGAGACCTTTATCAACCTGCGGGAGGTGAGCAACCACATCCGCCTGCCCCCTGGAGAATACATCATAGTGCCCTCTACCTTCGAGCCCAACAAGGAAGCAGATTTCATCCTGCGTGTGTTCACAGAGAAGCAATCAGACACAGTGTGAGTCTGTGCTCCAGTATTATAGTTCTTGTAAACAGGTCTCGGAAGATCCCCCCGGCCTGCTCCAAAATTGGTTTCTTTGCTTCCGCTCTGTAGGACTAGTATCTTATTGTGTGTACATAGTCTCAGGACTGACTGCTTATGCAGCTGGGCTTTTGCCTTTCTAAAAGAGAAGCCCAGGTGAATAGACATGCTCAATTTTAGAATGGAACAGATCAGTGGAACTTGCAGAAGGGAACAAGAGTTATTTTCAGATGCACCAGTGTCCCATTGCACAAATAGGTATTCATATGGAGATGGAGCAGCCCTGTTGGCTACTGCCCTAAATCTCCTTGCATATCATCAGTACCCTTGAGGAGGTAAGAAGAATTGCTGGACAGTGGGGGGAATTAATTTGGGATCTAGATGTTGGGCAAGAGATTCAAAAGCTAGTTGAGAAAGAGATCTGGCTGTGTGCCTCTCAGTGCTGTGATCCTTAACAGTGATGTTGCATGTTCAGAGAGCCATGCAGCAAATTCCAGATGTATTACTCATCTTTGGACTCCTGAGTTGGAGGAAACTAAGGTGGAGTTTAACCCCAAAAATCTCTTGACTGTTCCCAGACTGTTTTCCCTTTCTGAAAGTTCGCTGGCATGAGAATCCTTCCTAACAGTATTCTTGCTTCTCCAGGGAGCTGGATGAGGAGATCTCTGCAGATCTTCCAGAAGAGGTAAGAAACCCAGAAGAGGCAGTTGTACACTCTTGTACGCCCCTCCCTCCTCATGTTTATGATAGCTATATAGTGGGCTGATATGTTAAAAGAAGCTTGGTGCACCAATTTTCTGCCACCTTTACATCTACATTTTGCTGGTTAAGGCAGGCTAGGATGAAAGATGAGCAAGGGGACAGAATTGTGGGGAAGAAGAGAGCCAACTGCTGTAGAAAGGAAGGTATTGGAAAGGAAACCAGATGGCTTTTAATGATGAAGGGGAGTGGAGCAAGCTCTCTGTCCAAGCCTAGGTTTGTTTTAAACAATGGAAGCTTTAGTTAGAGCAGGGGTCTCAAACTC